GAGGACTGAATTCACCAGGATGCCTGTGTGTCTCCCAGGTGGAGAGCGTGGTGCTGCCTTCAGCGATGTCCCTGCTGGTCAGGTCTCCAGACATCGCCTGATTCCTGGGGCCACACCTGGGGAGGTGTTTTCTCAGCATCCTGAGAATGGGGCTGGGGATGAGCAGAGTGGGGGCCGGGGCGATGGGCCTCGTGTGGGGGAATCTTACCCCTTCTGCCCCTGGGGTGGGGGTGGGAGGGTCACTGGAGTCGGGTCTTTGCAAGTACCCACTGCTTGACCCTTCCAAACCGCTCCCAAAGCTGCCCCACCCCATTCTCTGCACCTCCTGTAGAGGGGTCAGCCCTCCATGTGCAGGTCAGCTCGTTTCTGCTAAGACCTCATGGCCATGCGCATTCTGCAGCTTTTCCAGAGGTGGATTTACCGTGAAGTTAATGACACATACTTGAGGACAGCTCAGTTGCACAAACCCCTACTGATACCTAATTGTGTGTTATTTTTAGAAAGATACCCCAAGTTGTATGTGCTTCCGACTTTATAAAACGTAGATCTGCTCTTGAACTCTGCCTTGGTGAGATTTCTGAGCCCCTTACTGGAGCCCAGAAAGGGGGAGAGGGAAGTGCAAGCAGAGACAGGCCTGCCACCCTCTCAACAGCCCTTCCAGCTTCCTGTCTTGGCCTCCTTCCTGGAGCGCCAGGACACCTGCGTTCTGTTTTGGCCACTATGTGACACAAGTCATTTTCCTTCTCTAGCCTCAGTTTGCTCATCTATAAATAGGAGAATCAGACAAGATCGTTTCTAAGACCCTTTGCTTTCTAATATTAGAAGACCCACCACCTTATTAGGACCCTGGGGATAGGCCTGGCTGACCAGCTGCTCACAGGGTCTCACCGGTGCCTTCTCGCCAGGGTTTTAAAGGAGGACTGCTGACCTCTGACACTAGGGCCCCAGGTTCAGGAAGCACATCCCACCCTGGGCCAAATCTGGCTCCTGAAATGAGGGGGCCCAGATGTGTGTGGGTGTGTGTGCGGTCCCAGAGAGAAAACGAGGATGTCCCCTTCCCTGGTTTGGGGACAGAGCTGTGGGGTGAGGGAAGGAAAATTCACTGGCAGTCACGCTTCCTGGTTCCTTATGATTTGGAGACCTGAGCCAGAGAAAGAGACCTCACACCGCTGTCTCAGCTGGTCTATTGTACAATGGGGCCTGAGTTCCTGGGGACAGCATGGGGTTGATACTTATGCAGCTGAATCCAATGACGGTCAGGGTGGAGGAGGCGGCCGCAAGCGGGGATCGTGGCCCTGGGAGCGCAGTCTTCTCTTGTGGGGTCTGGGCGCTGGCGTTGGTCAGACCTGGGGTCAAACCCCAGCTTTCCCCCTTACCCAGCTATGTGGCCTTGGGCAAGCGACCCTCTCTGAGCTTCAGTTTATCTTCAGAACAGGGAACCTAACATCTACCTCACAGGATTCTTCTAAGGATTAAATGAGTTAATATGCGTGACGTGCCTGGCACGGGGTAGGCCCTTGTGGCCGCTCCTTATCGCTATTATTGTCTCTACTCTTTGGAAGGAAGCCCACTCAGCAGCTACTGCCCTGGGGGCCCTGGGAAGCAGGCAGGGTAAGGGAAGCGTTGTGAAGGTAAGCGTGAGGTCTCAGCAGGGGCCCTGCCTGTAGCAGGTGGACTGGGAGGCCCAGGCCTCTCATCCAGCTGTGGCCTCACAGGACGAGCAGCAGAAGTGGGAGCCCGTCCCATCTCACATTCTCCCTTGCCCAGGTAGGGTTCCCCGCCGGGAGGCCTGGAGTCCAAGGGTGAGCAGGGGGCCCTGGGCTGAAGCCTTAGTGGCTGATGGAGTAAGCCCCCGAGTCTGTGGACTGTTTCTCCTCTGTGGTCTGGTCACTGGGGTACACTGGGTTGGCCGAGGCAGTGATCTTCAACGTCGTCCCGTTCACCTGCAGGTAGAAGGCCGGCATTATCACGCTCTGGCTATGGGCAAGGACCCCACTTGACGGGCTCAGAAGTCGGGGCTCATCGCCTGGTCATTAGGGGAGTTACAGCAAGTCTGTGTGACCCCAAGAGTCTGTCCATGCAGCACAACAGCAAACAGGAATCTGAACCAACCATAGCAGGATTTGTCCAGCCCCAGAAATGGACAGGACGGGATGTTGACAGCCACAGCCCACAGAGCCCCCACGGTCCCGATAGAGCCCACTGTTAGCCAAATCCCCTCTTGTCTGGTCCCCCAGCTTGCACTGAGGCCCAGTGAATTCCCCTTCAGAAGCCCCCAGGAAGCGAGCCACTGAGAGTCCCCAGGGTCCAGTACCCCTTTCTGCCCTGTCCTGCTACCTCTCGTGGGCCCCTGCTCACCTCCTCAAACTTCTTGGCTTTGTACTGGTCGGCCCCCTTGAGGAAGTTGAGCAGGATGATGTCGCATAGGACAGTCCCCTGGAAAGGAGAGGCGGGCGGCCCTGAGCTGCCTGAGCAGTGGGCAGGATGGCCGTGGGGCAAGCGTCAGGCCGAGGGTCTGGGCAAGTCCTCTAGAGACACCTGACGCTTCCTCAGAAAAATGTGCAGGGGCTTTGAGGAATGTCTTTATGACCCACCTCCTCAGCTCCTGGGGTGACCCCAGAGCAAAATGCAGGGAGAGGACTTGGTGGGAGGAGCAGAGGGACTCCGGAGTAGAAGTCCCTGGGAGGGGGCTGTCCTCATGGAGGCCCCCTGGGT